ATTTCGAGGACTCATTCTTAATATTCGTGGGAGCTAACATCTTTATAGTAAGGTGACCATATAATTTCTCATCCGAGCTGGGGCACTTTTCAAACTGAAAGGAGATGCTATTAATGATTGGACTGGGATAACAGGTATCGACCAGAAAATGGGAGTGTATGATCATATAACTTTATAGTAAAAGTGAATTGGCAGTTAGATAGTAAATTTTATGATGTGTGTTTTTTAATACAACACACACACACACACACACACACACACACACACACACACACACAAATTGGCAAGCAGTCTTTCCTGTAAAGACGAAAATCTATATTTTCCCCCTAAAGAGAGATTCACTTAATTTTTGGAGTCTTGAAAAATTAGCATCCAAATTCAATGAAATGTTTTCTTTTAGGCTGGGAATTTATCAAGTACCACATGAAGTCCTATTTCTTGAGCTCTTGAGCTCATGACAAGATAAGAGGTGTAATATCGAAATTCCTAGTCTAGTGAGCAAATACATTTAGAATAAATTTCAAAAGGGATAAAATCTCACCAAACTAACAGGAATGACATGGGAGCAAGAACATATACTATTTCTTCTGATCTTGGGAAAGTCACGTATGCTTAATTCTTATCACTGTGACCCAGAATACTTGAATCTTATGCTTTAATATATACTACTAGAGAAATTCCATTAGTGGAGAATGACATTTAGAGGACTCCTAAAACAAGAGAGAACTGATTTATGAAATGATCCAAAAAATTATGCCAGTCTTTTTCATGCACGTGAAATCATTTCTTCCATATCAGGCGTGGGAGTAAGTCACTATAGGGAGTCATAGCAACATCAAAGAATTCATGAATCTTAATAGTACCACCAGGGGGCACTATAGGCCAAAAAGGAATAAAGTTGCCCTACCCAGGTCGGGTGAGCAAACATTTCAAACCACCCTTTTCCAGAGTGGCTGTACCCATTTGCAATCCCACCACAAGACAAACGAACAAAACAGAAACAGAGACACAGAGAGCAAACTGAGGGCTGCCAGAAGGGAGGGGTGTCGGGGAGCTGGGTGAGAAAGGGGAAGGGATTAAGAAGTACAACTTGGCAGTTACAGAAGAGTCATGGGGATGTAAAGTACAGCACAGAGTGGCTGGCGGAGTGGCTCAGTTGGTTAAGAGCTCGCTCAAGAGTGCAAGCTCTGAGCAACAGCAGTTTGATTCCCAGCCCCACTTGAGCAGCCGCTTGAGCTGCCAACAGGTGGCAGGATGGCTCAGCTAAAAAAATATAATAATAAAGTACAGCATAGAGAATATAGTCAATAATGTTGCAACAACTATGGATAGTGCCAGGTGGGCAGATTCTGTCTTTTCGGCCAGTGTTTTCCTCTGAATGTCTGCTGTTCTCCACGGTCGCCAACCCTACCGTGTCCATTCCCTAGCTCCATCACAGCTCCTCCTTCTCAGACATCTGCCAGCCCTACACCTTTTTTCTTCTTTCACATACTTCCTACTCAAGTCTCTCCATTCAACTTACCTCTTCCAAGATGAACACCACTATTTTAAATCAGTTATCCTCCAAATAAAACATTTTCTATAAAGCCTGTTTATAGTGATAGGGATAGGAATTAGAATTTAAGGCTGCTTCAATTTCATTAATCTCTGAAAGGTAATTTATTTACAGGCAACCAACTGAAGAAAGAAATACCTTCAGAAAAGGGTGAAACAAATCCTGAAGACTAAAACCCTGCTAATTTCTCGGCGATCCCTATAAATCCATTTCTGCCCCAGTGGTCAAATTGTGTTTTAATTTCTTCCTTATTCTCTATTCCACAGCCATGCTTTCTACTTCGTTAGCACTTTTATATATTTGCCCTGAACTATTGTCTTCCTAGGCCAATTCTTTCCTCTTTCAATCCTGTGGATTACATTATTTTTGCAGCTTTGAGACAATTCACGTACCATTCAATGCACCTAATTAAACTATACAATTCAGTGGCTTTTAGTATATTCACAGCTGTACAACCATCACCACAATCAATTTTAGAACATTTCAACCACCCCAAGGGGAAACCCTGTACTGTCATGCCACCCCTCATCAGCCTCCCAATGCCACCTCTATCCCAGCCCTAGGAAATAATAATCTACTTCCCGTCTCTATAGACTTGCTTAGTCTGGACACTTGATATAAAATGGAACCCAACACTATGTGATCCTTTGTGAATGGCTTCTTTGTCTTTGTGACAATTCCAAGGTTCATCCATGTTGTAGCATGTATGAGTACTGCATTCTTTTTTATTGCTGAATAATATTCCATTGTATGGAGAGACCACATTTAATTTATCTAGTCATCAGTTGATGGGCCTTTGGGTTGCTTCCGTGTTTTGGCTATTAGGAATAATACTGCTATAAAGTTTTGTGTACAAGTTTTTATGTGAATATCTATTTTCATTTCTCTTAGATATTGTTATGGGTTGAACTGTATCCCCTCAAAAAAGGATATTCTGAGGTCCTAACCTTCAGTATCTCAGAACATGACCTTATTTGGAAATAGGGTCTTTATAGAGGTATCAAGTTAAAATGAAGTAATTGGGGAAGGGCCTAGTCCAATATTATGGGCGTCCTTGTAAAAAGGGGAAATTTGGATAAGAAACAGATACACACAGGGAGAATGCCAGGTAAACACGGAGGTTGCAGTGACAGATCTACAAACCAAGGAACCAAAGATTTCCAGCAAACACCAGGAGTTACAAGAGGCAAGAAAGGATTCTCTCCTAGAGCCATTATAGAGAGCATGGCTTGACCAAAATCTTGATTTAGGACTTCTAGCCCCCAGAAAATTAGTATCTGTTGTTTTAAGTCACCCAGTTTTGGGTACTTTAATTACAGTAGCACAGGGAAGCTAATACCTAGGAGTAGAATTGCTGGACCATACGGTAACTCTGTATTTACCCATCAAGGAACTGCCAGATTGTTTTCCAAAGCAACGATGCCATCCAATTGTTTTTCAATAAATTATTAATGGCTTCAAAACCCCCCTCAAACATAGAAAGTAAACTTTTCTATGTGTAACCATGCTTTCCACAGGTAATTCTTCCTCCATCGCCACTATGTCAAAATCCTTTCTGCCCATGTCAAATCCTTTAATCTTTCAATCAGTTTTCTTTACCACCGTTTGCTAAATCTTTCAATTTCCTTCAAAACAGAACATTAACAAATAGCTAAATCATCGATGCACTAATAGGAGGTGGCATCAAGAATGAGCTATGGTTAGGGCTGCAGAAAAAACTTAGAGATATAAACCTGAATATATGAGAGTAAATGGTGCTCAGCAGGAAATTGTTTTTTAGGGAGGTTTTCCTAGCTAAGACAGGGAAGAAATGAGGACCCTCAAGGAGATGATAACATTTTCTTTCAGGAGGGGAGTCTGGCCACAAAGAGACCTAAATCCCATCTCTGGAAAACAGAATTGGCATGTGAGAAAGAATACATCTGCTGGCAGAAACTCTGAAATTCTGAATTTCAGTTTTGTTGTTGTCCTAAGAGGAATGAACCTCAACTCGTCTTCAAACAATAAAGTACTATAGTCCAAAAATGATGAAGTTATATATCATTTGATTAAATATCTGACTATTCTGAACAAGGAAGAATAGAACCCTTTACATAGTTGAGTAAATAAGATACATACACACACACACACACACACACACACACACACACACAGATGGAGCACCATGTTTAGCCAATAAAGTTTTTAATAGCCAATAAAGTCTGTAGATTTTAGATTTCTGCACAGCTAATGGATGCAGGTATATGAGTAATGATCTGGCTCTTGGCCAACGTTATAAAAATTAGGGGTAAAAAACACATGTTAAAAAGTTTATAATAAAATCTCATAAAGATCACTTCATTTTGTTACCAATAACCTATTTTCACTTACTCCACATGCAAGGTCAACCTTTTCATTTTTCACGGCCTCATATAGAAAAGTAAAGCAGAGTGTAAAAAGAATGTTCGAGAACTATATTCTAACATCAGTAAGTTAACTGCTGACAGTGACGATAGGTAGAAAAACACCAGACAGAGCAGATCACTCAAAAAAGCACAACCATCTAGGATGATTCAGTGAAGAGACAAAGGGGATTAAGCAAGCCCCTGGAAATGTCACAGTGCCAATCACTGATGCCCAAAACTGGTGAGTTTGAGGCCTCGAAAGAGTTCATTTATTTAGTTCTGGCGTTTAAGAGAAAGGTAACAATACATTTTAGAATACATTAAAATACAATATCAAGTAGTAGTGAGGTTACTGATGATCTCTCATAAGCCATCTTTTTGTTTTCCTCCCCACTAACTTTCTCTGAATCAATGGCTAAGCCTCGTCTGGAAAGAGGGGTCTAGAACAAAAACATATTTCAGGAAACTTAGGGTCAGAAAACACACCAATAATTGTTTAAAGTTGGAAGAACATGAGCAAAGTTGAAGCCTAGATAATTTTACTGATCTTGAAAGATTCAAATAAACAGCTTTACTTTGAATTCCATTTCTACAGAAATATCTTCCCTCCCTAGCCTCCTTTCATCTTACTATAACACAAGCCACATAATCCTTTGCATCAGTGGTTTTCAGAGTAGAGAACCCTAATCAACAGTACCAGCATCACCTGAAAACTTCTTGGAACTGCCAATTGTCAGGCCGCAACCCCAGGTCTACGACTCCGGAAACTCTGAGGGGCAGGGCCAGCAACCTGTGGTCGACCAAGCTGTCCCTCCAGGCGACTAATGCCGGCTCAGGTTTGAGAACCACTGCTCCAGATAACAGGGATATAAAAGGCACAGAATCTTTGATTTTGAGAGCAAAATGATTCATAAAAGACTAAGTGACAAAAGAGAGTAGGAAAAGTCTAGCATATAAAACTGTGCGTCATTAGCTCAGAAACCATGCCTTTGCTGGATTAAGGCCCAGCTATACCACTTAGCAACCTCTAACCAACGGCAGCGTAAAGATGGTATATGTACCTTCCAGATGTTTCAGGAGTGCCCTACTGCTATTTCCATGAGCAGATATCAGAACGGTTTTGCCACGTAACACTTCAGGGGCAATCCTTTCATTCCAAAAGGGAAGGAGTCTCTCCAGGACATCCTTCAAGCTTTCACACCGCGGCAGCTGGTCCACGGGCACATCGCACACTTTATACCTCCGGTCATTGTAGATTTCGTGGTAGAAAGGGTGAGACTCCTCGATGGGCGGCGGGGTCACGTTGTAGCTTCTTCTCCAGAGCCTCACTTGCTCCTCGCCGTGATTCAAAGCCATCTGCTCCCTATTGAGGCTGATCAAGGCGCCGTAGTGACGCTCATTCAGGCGCCAGGAGCTCTCCACGGGTACCCACTCCTGGCCCAGCTCTTCCAGGATCAGCCAGGCCGTGTGGATGGACCGATTAAGGATGGATGTGAACACAAGGTCAAACTCAAAGTTGAGCGCTTTGAGCTGCTTCCCACAGTTCCGGGCTTCCTCCATTCCTTCGTTGTTAAGTTTCTGATCCACCCAGCTACAAAAACGATTCTCTTTATTCCAAGCACCCTCTCCATGTCTTAACATAATCAGTTTGTATTTGGACATACTGATGGCGGAGCGTCCCTCGTGCCTTCAGATGGGCCAAGGTTCAACGGCAGAAAAACATCTGGAAAGAGAAGAAACAAAAAGGATGCTGTAGTCTTCGTTTAACTGATTACCTGGGAATGAAAGCACCACTTTACAACACCGTTCTAAAATAAACTAGGATAATTCCTTTGAACAGTTCTGACATCAGTCATCTGGCAACTCATCCACTATAGCGCACATAGGCATACTCTACAGATAATTAATTACAGGGAACCTAGTTGGCTTAAATTTTCTGATGGCTAGATAGCATGTTAATTGTACGACGTAAACTAACAGAACGCTTCATTCTAATGGCATGCTGCGTTTCCACCAGATCAAAAGGCACTTGATGCTTACAGAAGAGACGACTTAACAGAATGAGCTGTGGATGTCTACAAAGATGAGTGGTAGCTGGGAACTCCCGGTTCCTAGCAGCTGACTCTAGATCCAAGGCATCTTTCTCACTGTTTTTCCTCTGGTGGAAAAAGAAGAAATTACCAGTCTCACCTGTTCCAGAAGTGATTGAACATGTTAATTCAATGACCCACCACACTGATCTGGTATGTGAGTCACTGATTGGTGGCAACTAGCTCTTCGATGCCACAGGAAACCTAGGAAACCTAGGTCTGAAAACACAGCAATGAGGCTACATCCCATACGAGAAAATCTAAGGCTCCACATTCAAACAACATTAAAAGGGACTTAAAGCAACATTCACACCGGACATGGTACTCACCTAAATCATCTCTCCCCTGCCTCAAGACAGAGCTTTGGGCAGGAATAAATCCAGATGCAAAACAAGCTATCAAGTGCAGGCAGCTGCGAGGTGCTGCCTGCAGAAACAGATTAACAGAAGCAGGTCCACAGGAGTGAGAGGAAGCTTGGTGATAAGGAGGCCTCCTCCTCCTGCCAACCCTCAGCTACCCTCACACGCCAGCCGCATCTCGGTGGGAGAAGAGCCTCGTGGAGTGGAACAGGCAGCCCCTAAAGTGCTCTGAACTTGCTCAGTTAAGCTGCGGACCCAGAGACCTGCTGGGCGCCCTCTGTCCCCTAGAGGATCTGCTGCCAGGCTGCCTCAGCCTGCCCTCCCGTCTCCTTGCAGGGGACACATGGACGCTGACGAATGCTGCTCAGCCTTCACGCCCAGGGCTCTCCACCTCCACCCGGGCCTTTTCCACACTGGGGAGTAAAGATTAGAGGCACCGCGGGGCCTGGTCTTCGGCCATTCTTGGCAACTTCCATGCACTGGAGATTTTCTGTCCCACTTAAAACTGTGATTCAGCCAGTTACGTAACAATCAGTGCCCATGTTAACTGCCATCTAGATCTCGCGTCTTCCTTAATTCCTAGAGATTCTGAAGGGGGACCAGGGTTTTAACAAGAAGGCTTCATGTTTCGGTGGAAGGCAAACCAAGGGCTGAGGAAGAAAGCAGGTGGAGGTGATCCGCGGGTAGTTGGAAGGCGGCAGCCGCGGGTTTCCGCTTTGCCTTTGCCGTCGACCATCAGGTTTGAAGCGTTAGTGCAAATGAGGCAGGAAACAGCCTGAGCTCAGGGCTCAGAGGAAGCCGCTGCCTCTTCCCTCAGCCCCGAGGGGCAGCAGGGCGGCAGAAGATCAGAGACTGGCATGAAGGCACCTGGCAGTGCTGGGCTCCATGATGACTGGCGCCCAGAAGCAGAATAACCATGAAGCTAGTGAGGCTCAAGCTTTAGGGCCGCTCACTGGAACGAAGTCCTTCTCAGGCGCTGGGAGAGGCCAAACAATGAATTCACATGGATGAGTGTGAGTGAGTGAGTGAGTGTGGGTGTGTGTGTTTTACAAAACAAAGATATTTTGTACTGTTTCTTTAAAGACCCCAATCTACCACGTGGTAGATGCTACAGGCCCATCAGAAACTGAATCCACCTCTTTATAACATCTATTGTCTTATTTTTCGGGGTGCTGTGGAGGAGAGGGATGGAGAAAAGAGAAGCTATCAATTTCCTCTACCTCCGCCCTTCCTTTGTCGCATGCTAATGAGCTATTTTCCCTTCAGAGGAAGAGAGGTTTGATGGACAAATGTTGTAGGCAGAAGAACTTCTCCATCATCCTCTGATGATGAACTTGATCAAAGGAACAAAAAACAAAATGTAGCAATGACATCATGGACACTGAGGTACCTACCACCAAGCTTTGCTGTATTTTAATCTGCTACATCTGCTTGCTTTAAGGAATAAAACAATTTCTCTTGTTTTCCCCCCCTCAAAATACATCTACTGGAGCAGAGTATGAGTACTGCGGCCGGCGACTATCCAAATACAGCCCCTCCCCTCATTCTGGTGTCCGGGATGGGAAGAGGGTAAGACCGAAGCCAGTGCCTCTCTCAGGTAAACAAAAGTCACTTCTCTCTCCTCTCCTTGCAGCTATCAACTGACTTTTCCCATTTAATTCACTGCTGAGTATTTACAAAGGAGCTGCTGAGGTTTAAAGTTGGCAAGCTAAGATTTTAATCATCGTGGGAGCTGGTATCCTGTTTGCCAACAAACACACAACGCTAGTCAGTTTGATTTCAAGTTTAAGGCCTGGGCTGCAAACTCACATGTGCCAATGGCCAGGCCGATGTGTGAAAGGCAGTGGTGCTGGGCTACAAGGGTGGTGGCAACAGTGGTGAACTCACAGGATACTGCTTTCCCGATGGACACCACCCCTGCGGTGTAACTGGACGAAGCTTTGGCATAACCTGGTCTCACTGAACTAAGGGTACGGTTCTTAGCCCTTTCCTGGAGAACAGGAAGAAGACGGAGACAACTGAAATCAAAGATTGGAGAGAATGCAAGACTCGGAGTCAGACCACAGAGAGCCTACAGATTCTCCTTTGTTTTTAGCGTAAATGAATGTCTTCTTTAAAAAAATTAAAATGACCATGACAGCTCCTAAAAGTTCATATACTAAAACCCAAGGAGTAGCTATTCCTTAGCTCTAGCCTATTTCCCTGTGAGACGGAAGAACTGGGGTTCCTAGACTTTCCAATTTTCAAAAACACTGGAAATGTGCATTTTAATGTGACATCTGATATAAATACTGGCGACTCCTTTGAACACATTTGTAAAATGTGCGCTAAACAAAAGATGTCTGCAGGCTAGATGGAGTCTGCTAGAGTATGACCCGTGACTTAAAGGGAACTCTCCCCCTGGCCACAGCTGAATGGGGAGGCCACCATCCCCCAAGGAGACAGACCCCAAGCTTCCAGGCTCTAAGCCCAGGTTTCTTCTGTTATTGTTCAACAAGCTCTTTCAGAGGACACACCCTCTAATCCCTCTAGCCCGGGTTTCCTTGTCCCTGACCCACCTTCATCAAACCCACTGCCCCTTCCTCGCAGAGCCTCAGCTCTGTCATCAGACTCCCACTCAACTGTCGCACTCGTCCTGGAACGCTTCCTCCGGCTGAGCTATAACCAAGCTGAAAACCGACTGATGGCAAAACTACCTCCCAGGTGTCCGCTTCTCTTTAGTGGGGAGTGTTTGTGCCTCATATTCTGGGGCAGGGGCAGGTGATAAACAGGGTCCGGCTCCCTCCCTCTCAATGGTACTTCCTGATGAAATGCCGCCACCTCACCATTTTGTGGGGGAGAGCTTTGATTCTGAGAGTCTTGCTATCTCCCTCACTTATTAGCTGCAAACCTCCTGAAAGCTAAGTACCCTATTTAAAACCCTCAGTTACTTCCTGTTGATCTTAGGATAAAGTTTAGAAATCCTTAATGTGACCTGCAAGGCTTTGCTTTCATTTCCTTGAGCAGGACATGTTCTTTCTTGCCTCAGGACATTTGCACATCCTGTATTCTACAGGAACCCTCACCACCCAACCCATCATCCCCTCCCCTCCATTGCCACTTCACTCCCTTCTGATTTTAGGTAACCTCTAGTCATCCTTTAGGTCAGCTGTGTCCACTCAAAATATAATACCTGTCCCATACACCCTCTGAAATGTTCTAAACGCCACATTAAAAGGTAAAAAGAAATAAGTGAAATGAATTTTAATAATACATTTTATTTCACCCTGTAAGTTCAAAATATTATAATTTCAACATATGATCTATATAAAATTCTTAATGAGGTATTTTACATTCTTTTTTATCATAGTAAGTCTTTGACACCTGGTGGATACTTTATCCTGAAAGCACATTTCAGTTTGGACGAGCCAACATGTCAAGGGCTCAAGAGCCAAAGGTGACCAGCTCCTACTGTACTGAACGGTGCCTCTTGAGAGCTCAGCTTAAATGTTATTTTCTCTAGGCTGGTGACTCTCAAACTTTAAAGTGCATCAGAGTCACTAGCAGAACTGGTTAAAACAGATGACTGGACACCCCACTTCCAGAGCCTGACTGAGCAAGTCTGTGGGTGGGGATGGGGCTGAAATTCACATTTCTAGCAAGCTCCCAGGCGATGCTGATACCGCGGTATGAGGACCACGCTTTGAGAACCTCTGATCTAGGCAGACTTCTCTGCCCGTCCTCCTTGCCCATGAGGAAGTGGTCAGATCTGCCTGGTATACGCTCTTACAGCGCCCTGCTTTCCAACCCGGGAGCAGTGATGGGTCACTTGTGACATATCACTGGTTCAACATCTATGTGGCCCATTACACCGTCAGCTGCATCGTGGCTGGTCTTACTGTTTTAGATCCTAGCATAACACTTGACACATACCTAGGTACTTAGTAGACAGGTTTGAATCAAAGTCAGCTAGGCAAAAATGATTGTATTGTGCTAACGAGGCAGAGGCTCGACAGTTTTCACGGTATTTACTAAAGTAAAAAGTCAGCGGGCAGGCCTGAGGTGTCAGAAAGCTTGAACTCAAGAATCCCAGCGGCAAAGCCGGAGCCAAGAATCACCATCCGTTATATTTTTGTACTCTTTACAGTTTAGGATGTTCAGGAATGGCCGTCATCTCCAGAGAAAAGAGAGGCTCCAATTAATTTGCTCAAAAACATACAGCCACCCAGTGCCAAGCCCAGGCCCTCCTCCCCTGATCCCGGAGCCCGTCCGACCTCACCACTGCAGACTTTAGA